CTCTTGAGAAATTCTGAGTACATTCTTCCCTCTTGACTTACTCTTGAGAAATGCTGAGTGTGTTTTTCCCTTTTGGTGGTAGTTGTTAAAGTTGTTAAGTGCTGTTGAGCCAGTTCTGATTCATAGGGACGCAGTATAGGATTTCCAAGGAGCGGCTGGTGACTTTAAACTACTGACCTTGTGGTTCAAACTGACCTTACAGACTAGTACTTTAACCCACAGGGACACACCAGGACTCCTTGGTGGTAGCAGGTCCCTCTTTTCGTTCTCAAATCTCTCTTATTTTATCTTTTTTAGATAATAGATGTTGCATGCCAGACCCTTGGGAATCTTCTTCAGAGCAGGATGGTGATGCAATTAAGGATGGTGTGGCCCACCCTGTCCTGTTGGATACACATTGGATCGCTAACCCCAAGGTCAGCAGCTCAAACTCACCAAGCGCTCCTTGGAAACCCTATACAGGGTCACTATGAGTTGGAACCAACTTGACAGCACTTAACAACAACAACAATCCTCTTATTGGTTTATCACATCAAATCACATCAATGGAGCTAGCTACATCTCAACTGCCAAACCACTGAGAATCCTGGCCCAATCAAGTTGACACTAAATCTGAATTATCGCATCAGCCCACAGAGCAAGTGTAGCTGAGTGACTTTGGGCTGAAAGCTTGCTTGTAGAGTAGGGTACCTCCAGCCATTTAGGTGGGAGAGCTAGGTTTGCTGATCCATGGAGCTCGAGCCGACTCAGGCTTATGGTGGAGTGGTATGTCCTATAGGCATTTATCAGCAGCTGTCTGAACAACTGTCCTAAGCATTTTTCACCCTAAATTGTAATCTGTTAACTTCCCTAATAAAACCCATAATTATTAGTATTATCTTTAAGTTCTGTGCGTCAATTTCAATGAATCACTCAACCTGGTGGAATAGTACGTTGTGGGAGGAATGATTGGTGCCACATATTTGCGTACCCTGCCTCCATCATTTTCTGCCAACCTGCCTCTTATTGTATATTGCCTTTCCTTTCATCCAAGTTAAAATATGTCTATCTTCTAGCCAGAAGGAGTTGTGGTAGTGTAGTGGTTACGAGTCGGGCTGCTAATCTCATGGTCAGCAGTTCGAAACTACCAGAAGTTCCGAGGGAGAAAGATGAGACTTTCTACTCCCATAAAGATTCATAGCCTCGGAAACACTGTACAGAGCCTCTATGAGTCAGGGCCGACTCCATGACACACCACCATCATCTTCTAGCCAGTGATTTCCTTTCCATCCTCTCCCATTGAAGGTAATCTAAAGTTTAAAGACTCCCTTGCTCTATACAATGGATACATTAACTTGACTTCTACATTTCATTTATAGAACATGCAAATATTTTGTCCTAGGTGCTGGACCCATGCTATTGTTTGTCACAATTGAAAGAAGATATTAATGATTAAACTAGCAGTGTATGTGTTGCACGCGTCTACTAGCATGTAAATTTAGAGACTATTAATCATAATTTTAGAGCAGCTGAATTTTTTTTAATTAATTGTTTACTGCCACTATCATTTATGAAACACATGTGATGTTCTCTTTGGCTCTACATGTGATCAAAGAAAAATTTAAATAAACAAATATTCTTTAATAAATGTAGCTTCAAGCTCAAGTTCAAAGGTTTTAAATATCTTAAATATCTTACCATGTTTTTCTAACCAAGTAGCCTCACTTTAGTATCACTTTCTGCAAGCTTCAAAAATAACCCCAGACACTCAGCTTTCTTGTTTCCATGTCACTTTACAATGTAATTTTGTATCTTTCCCTATAGAGAGATCTGCCTTATTTATTTACCCCTCTTCTTAGATCTGTATTGTTCCACATGTAGTTTGCTTTGGTCCATGAGATATTTGAAAACACAGGGCAAACAGAGACTTGAAAAGAATGTAAGATGGTGGCCAGGAAGCACATTTTCAGAATATGCCCTTTGGTGGTATAAATTATTATACATGCCTGAGTGTTTAAAAAAAAAAAAGCTAAAGTGAATAGAGAGAAATACTGTTAACTGATGGTACACAGGGGGGATATAATCATTATAATGAAACAAGGTGTATGATTTGTTGAATGTAAAACTGATGATCTGCTCTGTAAACTTTCACTCAATCCACAATAAAAACCTTGGGGGCAAAAAAAAAAAAGAATGTGTCTATTGTAGTTTTCCCTCCTGGTGCTCTTGACATCTTTCCATTTGCAAGTGATAAACCTAGGTTTGCAGGAAAATGACCACTTGGAGAAAGTGGCTCTAATCATTCTAGCCCACCCAAGGCTACCCCCAAAGTAACCAGCCCAACCAAGGCACCAGCTGATGGCAGTTGCATGAACAAGCCTAGTCAAGATCAACTGAACCCACCCCAGACCAGAACAGCTTACCTGCTGCTGTGTTGTTAAGTGTGGTCCGGTCAGTTCCAACTCATAGCAACCCTGCATAGGGTTGCTGAGGCTTTTTAAATCTTTGTGGGAGAGAAAGCCTCATCTTTTTTCCTCAGAGCAGCTGGTGGGCTCTAACCACAAACCTTCTGGCTGTCAGTTCAGTGTGTTTCGTTATCTATCTACACCCCATTTAAATTGCCAATCTAAAATTATCTTGGCTAAACATATGGTTTTTAAAACCATTAAGTTTTGAGGTTGGTTATTACACAGCAAAAGTTAACTAATAGAGAGATACCGTATATCATTTGTTTTACTTGGTTTCAGAGAAAACACAAACTGGAGGGGGAAAAAAAAAAACTCTTAATATTCTCTTACCTCAAATTTTCCAGGTGACAGATGGATTTTACTAAGTAACACTTCAGGAAAAACATACTCTGTTTCAAAGGTACCGCTTAGGGAGAACATTTCAAATCTTGTAGAAGCAGTTTCTACCGGCTGTCCACAAGTTGTCAAATCTGTAGTTTTGCATTTCAGCATTGTGCATACCTATGTGGGACAGATGGAAGCAAAATGCAATGCCTTTTGAGTATGTTATTAGTACTAGGACTGTTGACATAGTTTTTAATATAGCAAGGTAATTATTTGCTTTTGCCATTTGATAATGGGATTTGGAGCATGCTTTTGTTCTGTTTTCTTTTCTTTTTTAAAAAAATAATTATCAGCTTTACTGAAAATGGCAAATGATTTGAGAAAAAAAATCTTGGATAATAAGTGAATTGAGAAATAGAAGCCAGTTTAGACTGAAATCATTAGTTTGGCATTGAGTCCAAGGGAATGGAGGTCTTTGGTCAATAGTAGAACTGAATCAAATGGATGATTAAAATTTGGACTACTCTTTGAAAGGTGATCTGGCATATCATTGTTCTCTCTTTCTCTTAGATCAACATACCATTTTCTTTAGGAGAAGTAACTATAGAAAAACTATAGGAAAATATAGACTCATAGCCAATACTATATAAAAAGTTCATAGTTTTAAAACTTTTCCTTTGACGGGAATAAGAAGACTAAGATATCTGATTATAAGAAAAACTAAGATAAAACTGACATCCTATTTACTTTTTGTTTCAAGAATTAAAATAAAATAGTTTATATTCAGACACGTCAGTAAAGCTAGATAAGGTGACCTGTTCAGCACATGGTTAGATTATTATTATTTTTTAAATTGCTCAAAGCAAGCATTCCTGTTATATTAACAATGGTTACAAATGTCATGCAATTCATCCCATAGTATGTGTGTTTTGTTTTAAGCCACTAATTGTTACGGTAATTTGTTACACAGCAGCAGATCAATAGCACTCTGTCATGTTTTGCTAGTATAATACTATGTTTCAGAGCACATTTCTGCTCAGCCCTGCTTTGTGTGTGTTCATGTGTGTACATGTGTAAAAATGTCAGTGCATGCAATCATTTCAAGAAAAAAGTACTTGGTATGCTGGGACAAATACGAAAACCTAACCCTAGAATCCAACAACATCTAACTAAATCCTTTCACCTGAGCTGAGATTACCTGCCAGTACTCTTTCTTCCTTCGTCCATGAAGTCCTGTAAAAGCTCCTAGAACGTAGACTTCATTCTCTTCTTTTCCTAACATGTGGTAGCTTAGATGACAACAGAGCTTGTTTTTACAAACTGTAAGATTTCCCGCACTTTCATAAAGTTCTGTGAAGTTGAACTCATCACGGGAAACCAAGCCCCCAAAAGTTTTCTTCTGTATTGGGAATGGTTTGATGGCCTTGGCATAGGCATTCCAATTTATGGCTGGTGGGTATACAGGAGAGAATCGGGGCCGTGACTCTATCTCTGAAACGAGGATCTTTCCATCTGTTGTTTCCATATCATAATGATATGCTTTGGGAGAGTGTGGTGTATAGATACCACTCCCTGTGGAAGGAACACAAGACTTTAAAAAATCACAGTTTTCCCATCAGAATTGGGCATGTGATCATGTTAACTATTTTAGTCACAAGGAGATAGCATACAGGCTTTTAGCTTCATGGAACATCTAACTACTTTCTATTGTTGTTGTTGTTGTCAAGTGCCGTCACTTAAGTTGGTTCCAACCCATAGCGACCATCTAGAGGGTTTCCAAGGAGTGACTGGTGAGCTTGAACCACAAACCTTGCAGTTCAAACTGACTGTGCAGTCTAGCTCATTAGCCCACAGCACCACACCAGGACTCATACTTTCTATTAGATGAGATTAAACTAGAGAATTGATAGTCTCATTTTAAATAATGTTTAAAATAATAAAACTATATAGTAACATTATGGAAAATTAAACTAAATATAAAAATCTTTGCATTCCAGAGTTCCTTCAAGGTTTGTTGCTGTTGTTCAGTGCCATCAAGTCAGTTCAAACTCAGCGACCAAAAGGTAGGGAGAACAAAATGTAAAATTCTCTCTTGTACCCCATTGTGGTGGTTTTCAAACATGTCCAAAAATTCTTCAACATTCCTCTTTTCAAAAAGTAAATCTCATTCCTGTACCCTTGAGTATGGGCTGGACTTAGTGACTCATAGCCAATGAATAAAACATGGTGACAACAACAGTGTGTGACTAAGCAACCTGGCTTCCCTCATTCAAGAAAGAATCTTGCTCTTGAGGAAGTTAGCTGCCCTGTCCTGAGGATACGCCACACAACTCTATGGAAAGACCCAAATGTCAAGAAACTGAGGACTCTTGCCAATAGCAATATAGGTGAGCCATTCTTGAAGCAAGTCCTACAGCTCCAGTTCAAACCTTCAGATGACGATAGACCCAGGTTCCATTAGTCTGCAACTTTCCTGGTGTGGTATTGTAGGATAAGCACTGGATGGATAAACTCAAGTTCAGCAGTTCAAAGCCACCAGTCGCTCCTTGGAAACCCTATACAGGGTCTCTATGAGTCAACAACATTTAACAACAACAGAACTACCACCTAGTATGCCACCCCAAATTTCTGACCGACAGAATCTGTGACATGAAAAGTGTTGATTGTGTTCAGCCGTTGACTTTTGTGGTAATTTATTACACAGCAGCAGCTCCATAATATACCCCCCACACACATCCTTTGCTACAATATAAAGGGGTTTCAAAAAGTTCATGAGAAAATGCGATGAAAAAATCAGGGAATTTTTCCATGAACTTTTTGAAGCTATCTTATGTTGTGTTTCAGAGCACATCTCTGCTTTGCCATTTGGCCTATGGAAAGTTATTTGTATTCTTTGTGATTCTGTTTTATATTTTGTAAAATTGGTATAAATCCATCATATAGAGTTGCTGTGAAGATAATACACATGAAATTCTTAGCACTACTATTGCTGCTATAATCAAGCATTAGCTTTGAGGGTGGAGGGTAAGAAGATGGCAGTTAGGAATCCCAACAAAAGCAACAAAACATTAAGACGTGTCATTGGAGAAACATTCATTTCCCTGCATTCAGAAGGAGCTTTAAAAAGTTCGAAGGGAAATTAAATTAAAAGGTAATGCAATTGTTCCAAGAACTTTCTGAAGCTTCCTCATATAAGCTGCAAACATCACCCTGTCATGAATTACCTGTCATATTTAGGCTGACGTGATGTATATTGGCTGCAAGAAGATTAACCCTCATTCCCATTGCCCAAGCTGAATGGAACTCAATAGCTGTCAAAAAGGGTAAAACATTCATCCAAGCTGTGGGAAACAGTATGGTGTCTACGTCGAAATCTTTCACCAAGGTCACGGCAGGGTCATGGAAGAGTATATCAAAGCAAGTGAAAATGCCAAACTTTCCAAAGGTGGTGGTGAAAGTGACCAACTCCGGCTTTTGAGGGACATCAAACTGACGCTCTTGGTAGAGGTGGTACTACAAAAAATGCACAGATTAAAAGCAGTAAACATTTGTTTGTTGAAGAGGTGACTCCTAATTCTGCAAAGCTAGTAATCGACTTGATGTTAGACACAGTCATCAGCAGGAAATCTCTCACATGGGAGATGAATACATTTGATGATTTGGAGTCAATTTTCAAGGAAACCACGAGTCCTGGTGTGGCGCTGTGGGTTAATGAGCCAGACTGCAAAGCTGTTTGAGTCTAAAGGTCAGCGATTCAAGCTCACCAGCTGCTCCTCGGAAATTCTATACAGGGTGGCGATGGGTTGAAAGTGACTTGACGGCACTTCACAAAAACAACAAGTGGAGGTATATGCAACATATATCTGTACCATGTCTTTCTCTATCCCGGCCTTTCTCCTTCCCTCCTATTCTTCCTTTTTTCTCGGTCTTAATTAGGAGACAAGGAGAGCTGGTATGGTGCTGTGGGTTAATGCACTGGACTGCAAAGTTTGAACCACAAGGTCAGCTATCCACACTCACCAACCCCTTCTCAGAAACCCTATGCAGGATCACTATGGGTTGGAACAAACTCAACAGCACTTAATAACAACAGCAATTAGGAGATGAAGATTTCCCCATACACTCCAAAGGATTATCAGTTTCTTGAATTTAAAGACATGTATTACTCTTCTATAAATCTCTGATATCTAGAAACAGTAAATATCTGTTAAAAGAATGAGGAACGCTATCTTAGAAATTCTTACCTGGCTTTAGAAGTGCTGTTGGAGAGGAATGCTTTCTCTTAGTCTACATGATCCTTCTAGGTAAATTTGAAATACTTATCTAACCTAGGAGTCCTAATGTGGTGCTGTGGGTTAATACGCTGGACTCCAAGGTTGGTTTGAATGGCAAGGTCGGCAGGTCAAGCTCACCAGCGGCTCTTCGGAAACCGTATACAGGGTCACTATGGGTTGGAACCAACTCAACGGCACTTAATAACAACAATAAAGTCTAACCTAATATGATAATCAGGGTCAATAGCTTCATAAAATGGTATTCTACAGTACATTTGTCCAGCGTAATACATTTGGTTTCCTGACAGATGTTTCCATAAGCATTGATTGTGGATCCAAGTAAAATGAAATCCTTGATAACGTCAATGTTTTCTTTATTTTTCATGATGTCGTTTATAGGGAGGGGATCTGCTGGGCCAGTGAAATTCAAGGCAGAGAGGTCACTCAGATGGTTAAGGCAACTGTATTTTGACTCCAAAGGAGTCATCTTGATAGATTTCTCAAAGGACACAATATGGTCATGGGGTTTTGTTATTAAGTGTGAAGAAAATGCAAAGCTGCATTGGTGGGGAAAAGACCAGGAAAATTTTACTGAGGAATTTTTTCCATCTTGAAAATGTACCTGTTCATCTGTCAAATGTAGCAAGGCTGTTCTATAACAATTTTATTGGAAAACCTTAACCCATCTACCCTACAGCCATGATCTTACCTCTTCACGCTTCTTTTTGTCTCAAAACCCATAGAACACTAAAAAAGAACATGACTTGAGTCCTTGGTGGTGGTGGTCATAAGCCGTGGAGTTAGTTCCAACTCATAGTCACCCTGCAAATGGTTTCCAAGGTTGTAAATCTTACAGGAGCAGAAAGCCTCATCTTTCTCCTACAGGACTGCTGGTCATTTCAAACTGTTGACCTTGAGATTAGCAGCCCAACTCATAACCACTATGCTACCAGAGCTCCTTTGAAGGTATTTTGAGTTCATAGAGGGTGCCAAAATTACCTTTTTGATGTGGTGTAAATTGAAGAATGTAGAATTTTTTCAGGAAGTGTTGTTAAGTACCACCAAATGAGTTTTGACTCAAAGTGAATCCGTATAGGGTTTCCAAGGAGCAGCTGGTTTGAACTCCCAGCCCTATGGTTAGCAGTCCAGAGCTTATCCTACAGTGAATGGTTAGAGAGATGGAAATACCACCTTCATACATGGATAAACCTAGATGGAAGTTATATACTGAGAAATAATAGCTTCACATATTGATATTTTAAATAAAGGTTGCTATGATGTTGCAGCAATACTTTTTGAGTTATCTTCATATATGAAAAGAAATTGTCAAAAACACCTCCAGCAGCTCCGTGATAGAAAGACCTGGCAGTCTGCTCCCATAAAGATTGTTGTT